GTTTCACTGGCCTTGATTCACAGAATCAGGGTAACAAAACTTTATTCTTCTGCCCCAATAACAGAGAAAACTGGGGATCCCACACCAGCCAAAGTAAACACTTTGAGTTGCTGTTGTTTCATGCCAGGCGAGTGGGTGTGCCTATGCAAACAAGATCAGCCCCTTGAGTTCTTTTCCACACTCGCCATAATTCACCACCAGATGTCAGGGTAGAGCTCATCCTGACTCTGCTTACACCTGCAACAAAAGAACAAACCTTTTGTTTTATTAGAAATCAGCCAAGAGATACACCGTTAGGTGCTGCTCATTGCTCTCTCCCCTTCTACCACAGGGTCCAGATTCCCAGCCAGTGTAGATGGCATAGTTTCATCAACTTCACTGAATCTATACTGATTCACACCAGCCCGCTGCCTATGTTTGTTTCTGATGAACTATCCAGTAGAGCTGGTGAGGAATTTTCCGTTGGAATAATTTTCTGACAGAAGAGGCAATTTCTTCAAAACTGAAATTTTCCTTTGGAACATCTAAACGAATGCTCGCCAGTCTCCCCACGCTGCCTGCCTGGCTTACAGGAGTTTTCATTTAGTTTTTCCTCAAAATTTTCCCACAAAATTGGAAATGTTCTTGAGGAAAATTTCATTTTTGCTATGACTGCATTTTCTGTTGGAAAATCAGTCCAGTGGGAAAATCCCAACCAGCGTCACTGCTCAGTTTATCCGAAACAAATACAGGTAGAAAGCCGATGCTTAGCCAATCTCAATCCACATAGAAAAGTCGATGGCTCTTTGCCACTTTAAACTGGCTTCCGACCTGGTCTTTATACTAAAAAAAACAATGAGGAGTCTTTGTGGCACCTTAGAGATTCCTCAGGCTGTCACATCTCCAGGCTTATTTGAGATGAAAAAAATGACAAAAATGCAAAATTTTCTTGTGGGAAGGAATTTCCATTTTCCAGCCCTTTCTACTAACCACTCAATAGAAGTGAATCCCGGTAACAATTTCAGTGGCCGCCTCTTGTGCTCGGTTTACTATGTGAAGTGGCTTTGGTAACTTTAGAGAGGAAATATTTGTCGCTTCTCTCCGCTCAGGAACTGCATCGGGCAGCAGTTTGCCATGAACGAGATGAAGGTGGCTCTCGCGCTGACTCTGCTGCGCTTTGAACTCTCCCCTGATCCAGCCAAGCCCCCCATCAAAATACCTCAGATCGTCCTGCGCTCCAAGAACGGGATTCACCTGCACCTGAAGAAACTCCAGTGACACTTAAATCACTGGGACAGGATGTGATACATGACAGAGTTTAATCTAAATTTGATTGAATAACTAGAGCTGGGTGGGAACTGAAATTCCCCTTTCACGGGAAATTCTGTGATTTCAAAACGTTTTCATTCAGAATTGCAATGGAAACAACAGAATTTCACAATTTCCCACAAAATGAATTTTAAAAAATCATCCGAGATTATCAAAATTTTTGCTCTGATTTTGACTTTAAAATAAAAGGCTAAACGAAAAGTCGTTCTGAAATAAACAAATCTAAAACTGTTCCGGTATCAAAAAACATTGATAGATTTTTTTTCAAACCAAAATTCTGTCCAAAGAAACAATTTCTGTCGAAATTTTCCCAGTCAGTTCTAGTCAAAAGAAAGGCTGTGTTTTATCTCTGCAGATGTATCCCTGCTAACTCGTCTTTGTGATTAACTAAACAATTATTGGGGGTGGAAGGGCCATAGAGATGCAGCTGTGTATTTTTATTGATCATCATAATAGTTTAGCAAGGGCTCAGCATTGTACAGAAGAGAGAGAGGACAGCGTCCCAGCTCTCAGAGATTTGCAGTGGGGCTAGATTCTGACACAAGGGGTGAAGGAGGGATGGAGCATAAGGAGATTTTCTTTCCTCTTTTACGCTCTGCACACAGGCCTGCCAGATTTCCAGCCCCTGTGCAGGGACCACTTCCTCTGAGGGAGCGAGACGAGTAGGTAGGGAGTTGTACTGGTGTACCTCAGAAAGGGTACTGCAGTAAGTCCAC